CACTTTCCTCCCTTTCTTGAAGATAGGCACCACATTGGCCTTCTTCCAGTCTTCGGGCACTTCACCAGAGTGCCAGGAGTTCTTGAAGATCCATGCCAGGGGCTGAACTATGATGCTAGCCAGCTCCTTGAGGAGCCTGGGATGTAAACTGTCAGGGCCGGCTGACTTGATCATATCCAGCCTCTCAAGGTGTTCCTTTACAAGGTCAGCATTGATGGAGGGTAAAGAATCTCCCTCACCCAGGCCTCCCTGTCCGGTAACGGGCAGGGGCGTCCCATGGGTCTGGTGACAGACTGATGCAAAGTACCCATTTAGTAAGTTGGCTTTTTCCTGGGTGTCAGTTGTCAGTTGTCTCATCTGGTTCAGCATGGGTCCAATGTTGCCCTTGCTTTTCCTCTGGCTCCCCACACATCTAAAAAAGGACTTTTTATTGTTCTTGATACTTGTGGTCAGTTGGAGTTCCATTGCAGCCTTGGCTTTCCTGGTTCACTCCCTGAAGGTCCAGACCAGCATAGTATATTCCTCCTTGGAGGTGGATCCCGTCCTTCATCCTTTGTAGGTCTGTCTTTTTAGACACAGGAGTTCTGCTAGTTCCTTGTTGAGTCAAGGGGGTTGCTGTGTCCTCTTTCTGCCTTTCCTCTGAGACGGAATAGCCTTAGCTTGTGTATCTAGGATCGCTCCCTTGAGGAGCAACTGCTCTTCCTGGACTCCCCTCCCCTTGGGGTCGTGGTCCCTTAGGGTCTCACCAACAAGTCTCTTGACCTTGTCAAAGTCATCCCTCCTGAAGTCTAGGACCTGTGTACTACTGACTGACTTGACAGCTTTTCAGCAGGTGGTGAAGGTTATCAGCTCGTGGTCACTGTCACCCAGCTTCCCTTTGATTGTTAGGTCGCTGATTAGGTCGTCCTTGGTTGCCAGTACCAAGTCAAGCAGCACTTTGCCTCTCGTTGGCCTGTAGACTTCTTGTGTCAGAGGTCATCCACACATGAGAGAGAGCCTTGTGACAGTTCAGATTTGGCCAAGCGCTCTTCCCACAAGATGTCTGGGTAGTTGAAGTCTGTCATGACAATCATGCACTGGGGGCATGTGGCCTCAGCCAATTCCCTGGTGAACTCCTGGTCAAGCTCTTGATCCTGGGTAGGAGGTGTGTAGTAGACTCCCACCCTCATGTCCCCTGTGCCATGTTCCCCATGGATTTTAACCAGGAAGGTCTCTAGTCATCCACCCTGGGTGCCGATGTTGATTGGTGGCTCCTGGCATTGGTGTACAGGCATGCAAGTGTCCCCTTGGGGGCCCTCCTTTTCCGCAGCTCGCTCTAGGGCTGGTGCAAGGGTGGGCTCCCTTAAGTGCCTTGGCCTGCTGGCTTTGCAAGGGTTGCTCAGCAGGCCAGCAGTGGCAGTATTCCCCCCGCCCCCCGGCAAGCTTAGTTTAAAGCCTGGTGGAGCAGGTCAGCCAGTCCGGCTGGGAAGAGCCTCCTCCCCAGTGGAGAGAGGTGGAGGCTGTCCCTTCCCAGCAGCTCACTGCCTCTCACCAAAGAGCGGGGTGTGGTCATGGAAGCCAAAGCCTTCCTGATGACGCCAGCACCACAGACTTTGGTTAACTACCGGGATCCTCCTCTCCCTCCTCAGCCTGTAGCCCAAAACTGGAAAGATCGAGGAAAAACACCACCTGCGCCCAAATCCCTGTAGCACTTCATGACCCGGCTGGGAATACTTGCCTCCTAAATACTTACTTCCTCCTCTGGTGTCTATGTCAAAGTCTCCTCATGCATAGTAAGGGGAGTGTACCTGTTATACAGTGCCAGGGGAGGAGTGGATCTATGTGCTCTGGATCTGGAGACAGCTGTTTTCCAGGTAGCTCCGAGGGAATCTTTGTGGCCAGTCTTCTTTGTGGCCACCTCTTCCCCCTTCTCTTCCACATTCTTCCTCTTTACTCTGTTTCCCTGGAGTAGAGCCTGGCAGTAGTTGTTGATATAATCTTTATGGGCCCTGATGGTGCGTAGCTGGTGTACCTCCTCTTTAAGCTCCTGCACTTGGCCCTCCAGGGACTCAACTAGGGAGCACATCCCACAAGTGGGGGGTGCTCCCATGCTCAGGCATCAGCAGCTGCGCCAGGCAGCCCCCACAGTCCAGGGCCAGGGCTGCAGGCTCTGTCAGGGTATGGGGTCTTAGTGCAGAAAAGCTGAAGCTGACGGGCACGGCGGGTCACTGCCGTGGCTGCAAGCTACTTCTCGTACTTACCTGGTCTCAGCAGCTGCTCTTTAGGCCTCTGGGCTTGAGCCACTTGCTCAGACCAGCCCTCTGGGCGCCTTCTGCGCACCCCTCCACATGAACCCCTCAGTCTAGTCAGGCCACACCTGTTTGTGCACTCTGTTCACACAGCTCCAGTCGTGGGTCTCCCTGTGGAGCTCAGCTGAGTAGGGATCCAGGTGGGGCGTTCCCCCCCCAGGCTCTACTCAGCTGGTGTGTTGTGCCTGGCACAGCCCCACATACACACGTATGCATGCACGTGCCCACACACACACTTTCTCAGCCCCCTACAACCACCGTTATGCTCACCCACCCTCTCCCTTGGCCTGGCTCTTACCCTCCTGGCTTTTCACTGGGGGGTCCGCGTCTGGGTCTTCAGCTCCCGAGGGTACAACGGGCGTGAACCCATTCACGTGAACTCTGCTGGGGAGCAGGCCCAAGACCTTGTTCCTCAGGGTAATGACATCTCAGTTATCCTTGGGGTTCATTTAATATATATACAGCTGTAATGTGATAGTATTTTTTTCCATCAATAAATTCTAAGAGGAGTGAAATGTGTTGCCATAGGAATTTGGACAATGAAACATTTTAAAACTTCATATCAAGAACTCTTACTGAGGGGTCAGCATGGCAAGAGAAAAAGTGGTTTAGGCAGTGCTAAAAGAGATCTTGTATTTTACCAGCTGTCTGTCCCTTCATGGGAACATCTGCTTCCTTGCCCACATTCCTTTCTGTCCTTAGTAATGATAATGATTTATTTATGCTCTTCAGCCTTATCGTGTTTCATATTTGTTTGTAAATGTATAATATAGAGAGATATTCATCCATTAAAATACTGAATTCCATTACTACCAAGCCCCTGCCCTTCTCCAGTTTTGCTCATTCATAAGTGAAAAATCTTTTGGCACTAGAAAGTTTTTGTATTCAGTTCTAGTATTGATATTAAAGGGAAAGTGAATGTCCTGGACTAGCTGGAGTGGGTACCATATGTGGCGCATGTCTCAACTGGCCAAGGTGGGCGTTGCATACAGTGCAGATGCCAGAGCAGCTGGAATGGGTGCCATATTCAGCCCTGCCTATGGAGCTGGACCAGCATATGCTGCATGCAGCCTTTGGGTCAACTCAGGCCCAAGGCCACCATCAGTGGCTACTCAATGGGTCATATCTTTGACACCCTTGGCTTAAGAGGGAAAGAAAGAGAAATGCTTCTGTAATAAGAAAAACAATGTTCGCTAATTAATGCCTGAATGAAAAAAATTGTTTGTTCAATGACAGCTTTCATAAATAATCATTTACAAAGTCTGCCATGTTGGTGACAGGTAAAAATCTCAAGCATGAGCCAGTTGTGGCTCACATAACAAAGTTTTTTTTTTCCTAGCTTTTGCAAATTCTCGCTTTCCATCCTGAGCATACAGGTAGATCAACATACAATTACCCTGTTAATCCAGCTGATTTTAAGCAAAATATGAACCTGCAGCACATCTTACTGCACAACCAGCAAGAACTTTGTTTGTTAGAGGCCTGTGCCACCCTTCCTGACAGATGCTCAGGGTATCTTAAAGAGGAGAGCAAAATCACATGAAACAAGATCAAAGTGGGAGAAACCAAATAACTTATAAAAGCCAATGGAATATTAAAACAATGTACAGAGCACCCCCTCCCACCCTACACCCCCCCACAAGAAAAATATCCCAGCTATAGTGGTACTCCCACTTATCTTTGCTAAAAGTCTCTGTGTATTCTCACAGATGGATCAGAAATTAAGGCAGGGAATCCAGACTTTTGTTGGACATTAAATACTTTAAAATTTCAGGCTAACCTTTTAGCAACAGACATCCACTTGACCTACATCCATTGTACACATGGGGGTTTGATGTATGCAACAGGCATATCCTGTTTTAGCTGGTGTCTTAGAAGGCTCTTGCATGTTGCATCAAGTTGCTTCATAAGCTTCCTAAGGCTTGTGAGCTGTAAGTTAGTTTCCTCTGAGTCTAGGTATAGTAACAACTGCTATTGTCATGACAGAACCCGTATACAATCAATGCCAGTTACAGTACGAGCTTTTAGAACACCCTTGAATATTGTTGCTGTCTTACAGTAAAAATGAATTAACTGAATGTAATTGTATACTGTTTCTTTATTGTGGCCCAGATGATGATTTTCAGTTATTACAAAGTAGCTTTATGGAGAAACACTACCAGGAATTTGAGGATTCAGAAGAAAACAAACTCATCTACACTTCCATTTTTAATGAATATGTAAGATTTTTTTTGTTTTCTTGTTTGTTTGTTTGTTTGTTTGTTTAAGTTTGCTTTCCCCCTCCCTCACTCTTTTCTGCTTTTAAAATAAAGGTTTTACTAGATTCCAAGGGTTGGGTCTTTGAAGCATGGCACTTGTTGGCAATACAGCAGGAGGATTCTAGAGTTCCAGATCCTGTTTTTGTCTCTTCACGGAGATGAATCTTAACTTTAAAATGTATTTGTAATTTTAAGCTACTTGAACAGAAGGGTTGTTCATGTAGCCAGTATTTTCGGTATATTTGTATTTAGAGCAGTACAGTCGACACACAGGAATTACCAGACTGGAAAAAAACTGATGTCAAGCTACACTTCGGTGTCCTGTCTTACAGAACGTAGTCAGAGATACTTCAAGGGAAGGTACAAGAAACTCAGCAGTGGGCAGAGTTTGAGAATACCTGCCCCTACACAAAGGTGTTCATCTCCCAGAATTGGAAGTTGACTTGAATTCTGAGAATGAGACTTCAAATACAATCGTTCTATAAATAATGGGGTAGACTATGACATTGGGAAGCAATTGAGTGACTAGTATATAATTTGTACCAGTCATCATGCCTTAATTTTTTCATTTATTTATTTTTTTCTTTTGGCGACTTAACTTTGGTGTACTCAGTCAACTTACCATGCCTACAAGTAGCAGCCCCCAAGCATGCTTTGTGGCACTGTAGGCAGACTACTGAGTTACAGAACCAGTTAGTCCACCTCATGCTAATTAGCATCACCCACTGACTATAGAGTTATGGCTATGCTGCTGCAGGTCTCTTACAAATAAGGAAGGCAAAACAACTATAAAATAATCAAAAGATCCATTTGTAGAACAGTACAACCAATACTTACAAAAGTGTCTGTGATGGCTCTTTGGTATTGTAGCAGAGCACTGAATAGCATTGTGGACAGGGAAAGTTACAGACAAGGTAATTGTTTTTGCCCAATAAAAACAAGCCTTTGAATGGTAAAATCTAAGACGGCTTTATGAAGTGTGCATGTGGAATTTATGTTTGTATCTTGTCTCTAGATTTGTTTAGTAGAGAAATACATTGAAGAAAAACTCCTTGACAGAATTCCTGGTTTTAGTATGGCTGCTTTCACTATGTCATTACAGTAAGTCTTTTGTTCTGACTTTTTCCTCCTAAAGTGCAATTTTTTTCTTAGTAACCATTTTACTAGGGACCATGGTAGGTCTTGAACTTTTTCCTCTGTGAAAGGGACTTTTAAAAAAAAAAAAAAAAGTGTGTTCATGATACCAGCTCCTACTAATTGACATCTGTCCTCAGTTATATCACCCCACGCTGTTGTAGGTCTCTGACCTGAAGTGTCAGGCCAAGTGTGCAAGAGAGTGTGATGTACAGAAACAGCAATCAGAATGAGAGCGCAACCAATCCTTATAAGTGTCAGAGGTCATCATTCAGCTATTCCTAAATGTGCCATATAAGAAAATAGTCTTGGGCTGCCACTTAAGAGCTTAGTTCTCAAGCTGGTATTCTGTTATGGACAGCAGCTCGTTTTCCATTGTTAAATATGATCTGGCTTATCTTCTGCCTTCAAATATTTAGCTCTTGCAGATTGTGAATTTCCCAAGTGTGCAGATATGGATAAGCACAAAATAAAACAATACTTGTAACTAGTGTGTGCCAGAGCACCTTTAGTGCCTGCCGCTTTAAGGGCCAAAACAGGCAGCAGAGCAGCTGACGGGTGTGAGCCAGTTTAATGAGGTGCATGACGTCAGGAGGGCCTTTGGATTGGAGGAGGAGGCTGAGCATCCTGCATATTAACCCAGGGCCTCAGGGCTGAGAGCAGTTTGCTGGCTGCAGCCATAGGGAGAACATTGCCTGGCTGGAGCTGCTGCTAATAATATCTTGGAGGTACAAGTAAGGATCTATGGGGAAGGTGGAGGCTCCTGGTCCTGGGGAATGACCCAAAACTACACCCCACTAGGGTAGGATGGTTTGGTGGGACTGCCTTTGGCAGGGTGGTCCCCAGGAATGCAACAACACCAGTTCCCTCCCTAGTGAAAGGCAAGGATGGAGTGCCTTAAATCCCCAGGCCCTGCAGCCTGGTGGATAACCCAGTTGTAGGGACAGGCAGGGGGGTCAGGCATACCTAGAGAGGCACTTGAGTCCCATGGGGTGCAACACCTCGATGGCCCCAGTGAGATGGCGGAAGTATGTGTAGAGGCCAAGCAGAATAGGGTTTGCAGTGGTGACCTGAGGGATTGTGCATAAGGGTGCAGGGTAGGGTCTGTTGAGGAGGGCCTGAAGGGCTGCACAGGGGTGCGCCAAGTAGGGTTGCAGGAGTGACCTGAAGGCTGCTCACAAGTGGCCCCGAAACAGAGTGAAAGCACAAGTAAGGCCCTAGTGACAGGGCATAAGTGGTAGGCCCTAGTATGAGGGTATGAGTTGAAGCTTTGGGAAAGGGTGGGGGTGTAATGGCCAAAGTAAGTCTAGAGATGCATGAGGCCACATTTGGCCCAGGGACCAAATGGTAGGCTCAACAAGGGAGCTGGGGGTGGGGGTGGTAATAGTGGGTAGTTTGGGCCAGTGGCCTAGTGATTTGGATGCCATCTGCAAGACATGGGACATGGTATAGGGAAGATCGGAGCCATGTATAACACACTAGGCTTTGGGGCATTTAAATGGGCAGCCTCCTGCATTTTAACATCCAGTTAAATGCATCAAGTTGTGGCAGGTGGGACAGGGCAGACTGGCCTCATAATGGTTCCCTGTCACAGTATATTCTGGTTACATTGGCAGTGGAGATTCTTACCTTCCTTGTCTGGAGTCTGCTACAGTCTGAGTTTGTGGGTACTGCACCTCCTTTTTATCTTTCTGGGAGCATCCTATGGGAATGAATAGGTGTTCATTTCTTGCAGTGGCAATTTCTCTCACAGGGGAGATCCTTTAAGTGTCAGCCTAGAGGTATGAGGTACATTTCCTCTGGAACAAAATGAGCGAGTGCCTGTATGTAGTAGTTTTCTACTAGGATACCAGTGATTCTCCCAGTAGAAATGCAATGCCTGTATGTGGTCTGTGGCTTGTCAAGTTGTGCATGACCAGCAGTGGCCAGTGCTTTTGGAAAGCACTTTTTTCAAAC